TACGAGACAATTTAACATAATCCACGTGTCTCAGATTTAATTAATTTTCCGATCTGGTTTTGAGTAATTTTGGAATATTTCTTTGGGTTGTGGGACACCTTTTCCTAAGACCGAGCGACCGATCCTACCCCGCTCTCCGAATTCCTCCGAGCTAGTCGAAATAATTCTGCAACCTCTCCCTTCGATTTTCCCTAGTTATCTTTAAGTCTAGTTTTCTTCTCGTTTGGTTCCCTTTGGCTGCGGTTCGTTGATACCGCCGAAACAAAAATCAACTAGCGCCCGACACCAGTTCCTCAAAAGAGTAGCTGGCTTCTCGTTATCCGGTTATGGCGTTTCTATCGTTTCTACGGTTTTCGAGAACTTCAGGGAACATCGAAGTGGAAGACGCCGAAGGTGACACACTACGGCTACCGTTCAGTCTGGAATTGTCTGCGGGTTTAAGGTTTCGGATCCAATCCGTTCATATTAGTCTACGTTGAGAAAAATCGCCGTCACAATATATATACCCGTTCATGCAAATTTTTCGAGATATTGCCGATTTTTCCCCAAATTTCGTAGTACGCGCGGTAACTCGACAAGAAATTGAGATAGAAGATAGCAATTTAGTATCATTGCAGCTCCCATAATACTAAAGTTTGGTATTTTAGCTAAGCGATATCGGTCCAGTAGTTCCAGAGATATCCCACTTTTCGTGTAAAACTATATTGGTCAATATCACAAAAACTACTTGTTTCAAATTCATTTTATAGAAATAGGAGAAAATGAGACAAAGCCGAGATGATCGCCGCGGCACACTACCCGTGTGACCACTACTGTTTCTCATATTTATTTATGCTATTTATTTTAATTTCATATTCATTTTAATTAATCAACTCCATATAAGCGATTTTACATTTTTGGTGTTCCCTAAATTCTTTGTTCGACCAATAATTTGAGGAAAAATTGGGACCGGAATGTGACGTAAAAAAATAGTTTCTTCTGTAAATTGAACAAGGAAATTGCTATGGATCCATTCGCAAGCTTACTACCAATGGAATTGGTAGAAATAAAAAACTAAAATACAAATAACACATAAAGTAACAGGCACATGCCTTCTGCACTATAGGAGCGGTCAACTGCTTGTTTTATATTATTTTTCGTGAGGAAGAAAGTTGAAAAACACCCCCATTTTTTGAGTATTCTTACTCAAATTTGTTAATTATTAGTGTGCATTTTTGCGGCAAGGGAATTCTAATTTTCTTCGAAGTATTTTTTTCCTTATTGCCATTTGGTTTTTTTATAGTAGGGGGGGGGTGGCTGCGCCCCCCTGGGGGCTGCATCCACTGGACCCCCCTCCTGCGCCTCCACCCCGCTCCTCTCTCTTGTCGGGCTTTCGTAACAAAACAAAGTACGTGTCATTCGAACGGTAGCGTCAGTTTGTGAGTTGTGTGAGTTTACAAGACTCCTCACAAACCTCCCCTTACCGTCCTGATGACACAATATACTGTTTCGTACATCATTCAGTATGTACACTATAATTACAGATTTATTTTCAATTTCCGCTCGTTTTTGGTTCAGAATGGAAGCATTGGATTCGTTCAAAATGGCTGTACGAGCTCTAACTCTTAAAAAAAAAACAAGATATCAACTTGTTGTAACTTGCCCTCACATTTTAAAAATTTGGTACAAGTTTCTACTAAAAAATATCCTTCCCAACTCATTCGGAACCTTATCATCAATTTATTAATGGCAAAAAAGAGATTCACATACGACTTAGTAACAAATCTGCAGTCATATACATGCTGTCGCGATAATTTTCATTCTACGTCCAGAGTGGCCCTAATTTTATTATACCGTGTAACCATCTAGAGCATGCACTGAGAAAAAAAATTGCTTTTGCGAAGGAATCATTTTCTTGTGAGAAGAATTTATTTTTTGCGGAGCGTAATTCTCCACGCCAGTCATTATCAAGGAGTCCAAGTCCATCTCTAAATATTACAATTATGTTCAATTATGGAATGATTATATTACATATGACTTTGAATGAACTCCATTGACAATTATTAACCTTTAAAATTATTTCAAATTATTATACATTAGAAAACCTCGAATTTGAAAAAATTGAACAATAATGAAGCGTGTTCATTCAAGGTCATATGTAGCATAATCATCTCATTATTCAACATAATTGTAATATTAGGAGATGGACATGGACCACCTGGAAGTGACTGGCCTAGAGAAATAAGCTCCTAAAAAAATAAATACTTCTCCCAAAAAAATGATTCCCTGGCAAAAGTAATTTTTTTTCCCAGTGTGCATGGAATAAATGGCCAAAATTATTAATTTTTTTTTAAGTTTGAAACCAAATTTTTTCGGTTCGATCGAAGTAGTATGGAACACCCCATTTGTTTTTCCCTATAGAGTTTTAATTGCAATTTAAACCCAACATCGAACCGTGAGAATCGTAAAACATTTTCTCAGAGACAGTTTATTTTTCTTCCAGAGAAATTAAAGTATTTTCACTCTTTCTCATTCTATACAACGTCTCAGGCCCATTGTTCGAGTCAAGTACACGCGAGAGTGCGGGACTGGGCCAGTGCGATCGACTGCAGGGCTGTAAGGTCAACCCTATCGGCCAGGTTCAGGGTCACGATCTATCCTGTGGGTAAATTAGCGAGCCTTGGAATAATTTTTCGTGCATGCGTAGGGTCAGATCCATTATCTACGTGGACAAGAGAAATTGGAGAGCGATAATCAGTTAAATTTATGTTCAAAATTAAAACGTTTCAGAAGTTTATGTTTTGGTAAACTTTCAACAACTCAAAGGGAAATTAAGATATTACTATACGACAGCATAAAACTGATGATACTGTGTACATTTATTTCCAATATCTCTGCACTTGTCGAGTTGAGTGCTTTAGCACTCCATGGGCAACATACCTGCCACCTCAACGAACAAAATACCGGCCTCAAACGTAGTAGCATACCCTTTCTCTGTCTCTTCTTCATGCTTGAGGTTGGATAGTACTGCTAGCGGGCAACAACGGGCAACGGGCAACGTATTGTTGTACCCAGCGTGGGGGGTACTTATAATTATAGTAGGTTCTAGGCTTAAAGGGATAAATCCCACCAATGGTTTATCGGTATTTAAATATGATAATTTATTACATGATTATAATTACTGTGTCATCTGACTGATTACGAATTTAAGAGTTTACGACTCTAAGAGTTTACGACTTTTGTACGCGTCGGAGTCCAATTCAGGTCTGTTCTGTGCAGACCCAACCGTCTCTTAAATAATACATTGATTGTTTACATTTCATTACTTGGTCAGCATAATCTAATTACGCTGGCAAGTGTCACGCTGACAATGCTGTATGTCCACATATTAAACAATAACGCAATTGACCAAATCTGGGGCATAACAGTATAGCGTTGCTATATGGGCAACTTGGTTAATATCATCTTGAACAGAAAAATAATTACATCAATAAAAAACTGCTGGCCACTCTATATAATGTAACTAACTGTAAGGGTGTTTTTCATGCGGCTGTACTTGTTTGCAGTTGAGTGAATTAACATGATTCGGTAGTAGTTGAGTACCGGGTATCTTACTCATAAGAACCTATGTTTATACCGCGTGGATTGTGACTGATATGCTCAGCAACATAAATTGTTAAAGATCAAATTTACACCTCAATGTCTTGTATTTTGAAAAGTTCATTGAAAAATATTTTTTTACGCTAAACGAACTGTTTTTTGTGCTTTCTACTAGGATTGGTTTACAAAAGACAAGGATGGTACGAAGAAGCTCTCGAATGTTTTTGGAAACTGCGAAATATCGTACGATATGATCCACAAACGGTATATCAAATCGGCCGCTTATATCAGCTCATAAAAGACATGGATCAAGCTGCGGAATGGTATTGTCAAATATTTGCGTTTCCCATGATGAAAAAACTCATTACTATACTTTGTTTTTATTGTACAACAGGTATAATCAGTTATTGACTATTCTGCCTTCCGACCCTGGAGTGCTCCAAAAGTTGGGAGAAATGTACGATAATTTAGGTGATAGACAATCGGCTTTTCAACACTATCATGATGTAAGTTTAATGAAATTGAAATATGAATTCTTTCCTGGAGATTATAACTTCTATTACAACTAGTGATATTTATTAATAAATTTATTTTGTTCCCTAGTCGTATCGATTTTATCCAGCGAACTTTGAAGTCATTGACTGGCTTGGGTCTTACTATATCGGAATGCAAGTACGTAATGATGAAAATGAAAAAACAACTCATTAAATGATTAAAAGAAATTGTAGTATATTGAAATACTAGTACATACAGTTAAACTTTTACCCATGCTGCGTAACACACTATTTTTCGTCACATGTGCGTAAAGTGAAATTTTATGAATGGAATTACAATGATTGGAATTTTCTTTTCATTCATTGTGATGAATAATAATGTTCGACACTGGTGGGAAAAGTGTGCTTTAAGTCTTGGGAGGGGAGCACTCGCCTTCGCTACCTCCTAGGGGTCAATAAACACACTTACGCACTTGTATCAAAGTATACCATCCTAATTTAAGTGCGAACATGTAAACTCCTGACATACACAGGCTGTCTTTTAGCACTCTTTTACTCACACATCTGAGTTTATTGGAATCACAATTTTTCGCAAATACCTGAACCCGGATTGATCTTTTGACGCTGATTTTCTTATACATGGATGCCTGAGAAACTACGCTTCAGTCCCTGAAATTAATTAAACTATAGATTGGATGGTCATCGTGAGGTGCCGGAAATAGACCAGTTAATTGAATACAATTTGAGTTAGACAAGTTTCATTTGTATTCCTTTAATTACACTTTAGATAATTAAATTATGTTGATTATAACGTCAGTACTCTGAACTCGGGCCACGGGTATTGTATAAGGTTACCACGCAATGCTGTTTTTTCTCTCGACGAGCTTCATCGCTTTCCTTGCTTCAAACACTGAATCTTCCTATTCCACAATCGTGGACATACCGCCGGTCTCGTTCTCCGTGATCTCGAACGAAGGAGTCTGTAACAAACCAAATAATTTGAATTTGTTAAGTTCGGTGATAGAAGAGGGCTTGACGAGGGAAGGTGATGATTAGTCGTCGATCTGTCTTTAAGCGGGGTCACCGCCCGTCATAGCACGACTCTTTGGATCAAGAACTCTAAGGGGAATGAGTTTATCAATGGGCCTTGTGAGTATTGAAGTGACGATTTTGCATGTGACAGTGCGTGTTCTTTCATCCCTGCTAGAATGAAGTTGTAGTACATGAGCTAAGGGCCACTTGCCGGCTGGTGTTGGAAGGTCCTGTATGATCACCAAGTTATGACCTCCAGATTTGCTTGATCAGTCATTCACTTTGTTCGCACTTGGAGATTGTGAAGATGTTCATTACGCCACCTAGTCCAGAAGTCCTCAGTCAGGTATTGAATGAATTCCTCTGGATAGGCGGTTGGGATTCATGTCAAGAGTCAAAGTGGTAGGTATTGGGAAGTCAAGAATTCGGATACTCTATCTATCGGACGGGTTAGGAACCCGTGTATGAAGGTTGCAAGCCCTATCTCTCTCAAGTAGCTACTGTCGAGTAGCAAAAATGTGAACCCGTGCATGTAGGGTCCGCGACTTACTCCCTGCCCCCGTCTGAGTTCCCAATAGCGTTGATCGGTTTTCCGATTAAGAAGTGCCCAGGGATACGTGAACGTCTTCAGGATCGTCATGTAATGGACCGACGATACGTGAGTTTACGCAGCGCTCAGTCTTACGCAGTAATGTGGTCTTTATAGGTTGGTGGAGTGCTGTCGTTAGTGATTCTCTTAAGATGATTTTTCATCAATTTTTCACCACGGCGGGTGCAAAGTGCACATTTCCCAAAGTCAAATCTGACTTTGCGTCTACGCCGTGACGAAAAATAATGTTCTCACCACGGGAAGTAAAATAAAGGATTCGTGCCCACGTGCAGAATTACCACCCGAGCCGAAGGCGACTCCTTCATTTTACCTCCCTAGGTGAAAAATATACTATTACTCCTGCCTCCCAAATTCCTCCAAAGTGAGGTGAATCAAGATGGAAGAATCAGGGCCACGTGATTCCTCTAGTGGACACAGTTGATTGCAGTTCGAGGTTATGCTCCAGTTCATTGAAGACATTTCTTACTTTTTTATTAGGTATATAAATTAATTCTCGGCCCCTAGATTAAATTGATCAGAATACCTATTTGAATTTAAAAAAATCCCTGCAATAAACGGTGTTTTGAAGCGCCATCGGTGAACTATCAAACCACTTAAGTCCGATTATGTGATTAACACACCCTAAAAAAACATAGTGAATAAAAATGTCGTTTGACAAGCAGCACTTGAGGCACTGCCTTGTTTTCACCTTCCAACTTGGAAAAACTGCCGCAGAAGCACAAGAAATGATTCCTTCGGCTATGGGAGGGAGTGCTGTATCTTATAGCACATGTAAAAAGTAGTTTAAAAAATTTCGGGATGAAAATTTTGATCTCCAGGATGAGGAACGTCCTGGGCAACCAAAAAAAGTTGAGGACGAGGAATTGGACAACTTACTCAATGAAAATCCCTGTCAAACAGAACAGAAGCTTGCTGATACTCTTGGAGTGACTCAAGCAGCTATTTCGGTGCATTTAAAAAGAATTGGGAAGATACAGAAGGAAGGTCGTTGGGTGCCCCGTCATCTTACCTCAAAAACAAAAGTCGACGCTGTGAAATTGCAATGTGCCTACTGACCAGATTCAAACAAAAAGACTTTTTACACACAATTGTGACTGGGGATGAAAAGTAGATATTTTACGACAATCCTAAGAGGCGAAAGTCATGGGTTTATCCGGGGGAGCCGTCAACGAGCACTGCAAAACCGGACATTCACGAGAAAAAATTGTTGTTCTGTATTGGAGGGATTCCAAAGGTGTAATCTATTATGAGATACTCGAACAGGGGAAACCGTCACTGCTAAGCGTTATCAGGACCAACTGATGAAATTGAGTGATGCTATTGAGGGAAAGAGACCTTTTACTGATAGTGGTACAAGGCGAGTGATTTTGATGCAGGACAACGCGCGGTCACACACGGAAAAAGAAATCCTGAAAGTTATCTCCTTGTTGGGCTGGGAAATTCTCCCGCATGCGGCGTGTTCTCCAGACCTTGCGTCCNTCGAACAGGGGAAACCGTCACTGCTAAGCGTTATCAGGACCAACTGATGAAATTGAGTGATGCTATTGAGGGAAAGAGACCTTTTACTGATAGTGGTACAAGGCGAGTGATTTTGATGCAGGACAACGCGCGGTCACACACGGAAAAAGAAATCCTGAAAGTTATCTCCTTGTTGGGCTGGGAAATTCTCCCACATGCGGCGTGTTCTCCAGACCTTGCGTCCTCTGACTATCACCTTTTTCGGGCGCTACAACATCACCTGGTGGATACCCAGTTTCGATCTCCTGGAGAAGTCCGACAAAGCATTGATGAGTTCATCCAGTCAAAACCACCATCTTTCTTCCGAGCCGGAATCCGAGAATTGCCCAATAGATGGGAGAAATGCGTGTAAAGTGATGATGATTATTTTCAAGATTAGATCTGTATTCATTTTTTTATAAATAAATATCCGAATGGTCGAAAAAAGGCCGATAATTAATTTATACACCCAATATTTGCTTTGTACAATATTATGCCGTTGTCGCTGTAAATGGCAGAGGGTAAACATACCGCCCGAGGGTAGACTTCTGCGTGACGTGAAACGGTCTAAAGAGGTTAGGAATGCATGACTGGAATAGTCTGATACTAGTTCAAGGTGAGTAGCACAAGTCGTTAAGCAAATGAACACGGCAATATACGCTTCATGCGCCTTATGTCTGCGATCATGCGGATGTTTACTGGCCTAGCATAATTTACTCCAATATTTGAGAAGGTAGGAGCGGGATTGACACGAGGTGCGGGTAATTGGGCGGCGATCTTTGAGGGCTGCGATCATGTCTCCGGCTTAAGCCACATCGACGAATGAGTCCTTTAAGAAGCCTTCTAGCATTCAAGATCCAGTAATCCTGGTGTAGAGTGCACCGGGTCCTCCATGCAGTGTTTTCTCGTGCACGTAGATCACTAGGAGATGAGTGAACCGTCTGGCGGCCATAATTATGAAGTATTTCTCTTCATAGGAAATGGAAGCTTGAAAGAGTCCACCCATCGTCCGTAGAATACCATTATGATCCAGGAAGGGGTCGAGATGATCGAGTTTGTCCTTGGGATTCAGTTATTTACCAATTCTCAAACGTTTTATCTGCTCCGGAAATATCTCCTCTTGCGTTAGTTTGATCGAGTATGTATGTGTATGTGTTTAGTCGTTCCTGGGTAATTCTGAGGGTGGCAAATCGCATGCCATAGGCCACTTGTGTCACGATCAGTACAGAACTTGGGCCACGATGAGTACAGAACGAAAAAGTTGGTGATGTCTCTCGTGACCTCCACTCTTGGAGGCTCCCCCTTGATAGTCATGCAACCGGTAGCTTCAACTTGGATTTCTTCCTGTGCTGGGTTGGCTTAGAACAGCCTGGAGTAAGGGCCAGACCACTAGAGCGGATGAGAGATCAACTTGGGAAGGACCTCACAGAAAGCGTAGTCCGTAGGATTTAATAAGCTGGGGACATGATTCCAATCAGCCATGGGTATTCTCGTTTGTGTGTATGAAACAGGATTGGCCATAAACGCTGGCTAGTGAAAAGCGAGTTTCGTCAGCCAGGCAAGGTCTACTTGAGAGTCTGTCTATACGTGGACTGGAATTTTTTGTAGCACCATGGTGACCTTAGCTTTCTCAAGGACTCTGGCAAGCAAGCGAGCGGCATACAGCTCTAGATTTGTGATTGATTGGTGCTTTAGTGGTGCGACTTTCGATTTAGTCATTACTAGTATAACGTGGTCAATTTTTACTGGGGATAAAAATGAACGTTATCTCGCCCTTTTCCCTTGGTAAAGTCAGAAAACAGAAACTCGATTATTGTGGGCGCCAGTTGTTCTTTGTCTCGACGGAAACAACAAATCGAAATTAGGTCGAAGCGGAAAAATACAACAAAACCAAAGATTCAAAAACACAAAATAACTTAAACTTAAGGGGGCCAAGGGAAAGGTGATAGGGTGCTTGCGCTGCTCAGGGGGTTGGTTGTGGAGAGAGGGTTAGGTTGAGGGGGAGACAGGCTATCGGGCTCTTATTCTTAAAAAAAAACACAAAAACTGAAATTTTATGCTGAAATGTAGGTGGTTATATTGTATCTAAATTTTACAAAAAAAAACGATATCTTCAAAACTCAAAAGAATATCAAAAAGGAAAATGATTTGTACTGAGAGTGAGAGACAGAAATCAAAATAATATTTGTCACAAAAGAAATAGTGTCACAATAATTGTTAGGCCTCATGCGCAGAGAGACCCAAAATAAAAGAAACATTATATAATAAATAAAAGAAATAATAATATTAATAAAAATGCAAAAAAAAGAAGACTCGATACCAGTATACGAGGATTATCGATCTATCCTAAACCTCACTAATTTGGCTGCAGTCAGAAAGAAAAAAAAACAATTATCCCAAAAATTACGAATTAACCCCCGGACAATAGAGCGTATAACACAGTACCATTGAGAGAAAATCCGGAATCCCTAACGCGAAGCAAACGCTCGTTACGGAAGAAAAGAAAAGTAATATCTCTACGCAACATAATTCCGAGAAAGCGCGGGCTCGCTCGACGAGAGCATAATGCTAGCACGTGGTGGCTAGAGCGCCGGACGCCGCACATAACTCCACTGACTCGCGATCTTGAGACGACATCCGCATAACAGTGCCCTCAACTGAGGCGTATTGCGCATGTAAATCTAAATTAAATCCTAATAAAACGTCAGGGCACATGAAAATTAATGAACGTACAAAAAACAGAAAATCCGAAAACTTAATTACTCGGTACATCATTGACCGAAGACTAAACGGTAGGGAGCTCGAAGTGATCGAGTCGGCGGTAAACGCAAGAGAGAGTCTAAAATTCAAAACTCACGACTTTTATTTTCAAAAACCTCGACGTGAAATGTACGGGATAGTCACGATAGCCAAAATTTGTCCGATTGCGAGAAAGAGGTTCGAAACCCACTAGCGTGGGAGAGACAGGCGAAAAACCCACCGACGCGTAGGGAAGCGCAAATGCGCATAAGGCACAAAATGCACAAATAATGCGTTATTTAAGCTCTACCGCACAACGAGTAGAAATAAATAGCCAACAAAATTACAAACGACCTGAGACGAGCGTTTACTATAATATCGATCTCAAAATACTAAAAATCCGCCACCAAAAATATGAGAAAAACTCACCAGCGGTATGACGCAGCCCTACGCTCGCCTCTTGGCTTAAACTAAAAACTCCAAAACTCTCTCGAAATATCCTCCCAGCACTCCAAACGTCTCTCCACTGTTTATCCTCAGTCTTGTCCTCAAAATAACACCTGCTAACTACTAATGACCCCTAACAATGTCAAAAAAATATTCACTGGGACGCGGCCAGGCACAACACGTGGTGATGCACCGGGAACGAGAATTGATACTGCGTTCAATGGCGGCTCAGGGCACGGAGATGGACGTGGACGCAGCGCCACGTGCGCCTGGATTGCACAATCGGCACGAATTTCAATTTGAATTTTACAAACTCCTTCCACAAAATTCCTCCACATGACTCTAATGTGAACGTCATTTGAACATGAATGATTTTAACTACATTTTCTTCGATGGGAACGCATTCTCGGGATCACGGGGGTAAAAGGAACAAACTTAAAACTCCAGGGTGTAACTCTAGTGGACCCGACTAATTACTTTCTTATTTCCACAATTAAACCGACCTTGGCGATTCACGCCGAACAACGGTCGAGATTGCACGCGTGACCTTCCACCTAAACCCAAAACTAACCCACTTTGCTCCCCGTAAATCCCCTAAATGAGCGGCAGTATTTCAAGTGCACCTACGCGTTTCCCCGACGATTCCAATAAAAGGGAAAAATTCGACGAAATAATCGCGTAGCGCGGTGATATCTCGCCCTAAGCAACGAAAATCCGAACGTTTTCTCCTAGCTTTTGTCGAATTCCGAAAACCTAATCTCAAGGCGTAAAATCGCAAACCTATCCCCGATAATACTCGAAAATGAGGTTACTTATGGCGATCACCGCAACCAAAAAATTAAGAAAACCTTACTCTCCAAAACGTATCAAAACTCGAATTTTCCAAAAGAACAAAAGACTACAAAAATCTGACTCGAAATTGAAAATATCCGAATGAAAATATATGAAAATATTGAAATAATAATGAAAATATCGACTGGGTCATTTTCTCTGCGTACTTACAAATAGCTGGAAATTTTGAAGATTCTGCGGTGAACTAAGGGATTTCCCCAGAATTCCTTATACTAGGTTGACTTCAGCTTCCCTTGATGGGTTGAGGACTCGTAGAACGGCAGCGTACACCTGCTTCGAAGCGCCACAGAACCCGTGTAGTTTGGCATGCGGTGAAGCCGAAGACGTACAGAGGTAAACTGATTTTCTGAAGTTTGTTCAGTTGTCGATCATACGTATCCCATCTGGTTGCTAGTTCCACATAGCACTCCTAGTATCTTTACTGAATTGTTCTGAACCAATTCGTGAGAGGGTTCATAGGCTAGCAGTTCCGATGATGTATTCTTAAGAGTATGTGGGTGGCTTGAAGCGCATTTTCGCAGATTGACGCCTCTCACTTGTAAAAGTTGCTGGAGTTCATCGAGAATCTATTAAACTGTTGTGAAGAAATCCGTGCCGAATAGTGCATCATCAATATAGAAGTTGGGGCCCAACTAACAGATGATCATTTAACGTGGTCTGATTCTGCTAGACACGGGGAATATCACACATGGGGGTGACGTGAAGCTCTGCTCACGGAGAACGGCGTGGTGTGGTAGGTAAATTGATTTTAGGCTAGGGGGATCCAACCTTGGACCTTGGGGGCCTTGGGGACGGTTCCATGTGGTGGAATTAGAGATACTTTTGCAAAAATTTATCGTATTCCGACTGGTTTTCTGGAGATGAGCGGAAACGATTGATTTGACATTCTAGGCATTTTCGAACAATCACGTAAGGGTCTCCAACTTCCAGGGGAAGTTTGCTCTCTTCAAGGGTAAGTGTACCAAGTACTTGCCACCCTTGGATCTGATACGCATTGCTACGAAGTGATCCTCGCACCTCTGATCCTCCTCGTTTAGTCCAATTTTCGTGGAGACCTCTTCCAGCTCCGAGAATCGATGGATTAATTAATCGACTGGGTCTCTAATCATGCAATGGAGTGTTGTGCATTCAGAGGTGCTGGCTGATTGCTGATTGGTTTGAGGTCCAGTGACATGCTCCGTGGTCATGTTATCGGAATTGAATCGTTCAACATGACAGGATGTTATGGCTGTCTGTTGATATCTTCAGATGACAGCTAAAAATGAATTTGCAATGAAATTTTTATCGGTTATTTTTTCATTTTGAATGAAAATGTACCTTAAGAGGAATACTTTGTGCATTCGAAACGTAGCGCAATTGAACTATAGTTACATTTTTTCATGTTGTTTACTACTGCTGACCGAAACATGGTTCAAAAGAATTTAAATAATTTGAAGTCCAATGACTATCTACCTAAGCACTGTCTTCTCCGCCTTAAGAGAGTGAGCCTTTGCGAATATCTTGGACGATGACAGTCGGATGTAGATCACAGCAATAATTAATTCGATTTGTTGCTTGTTGGAGGGGTTGGGGTTGGCCAGCTTTAAATTCATCAGATCAACGCACTATAGATCTGTAGTTAATTATCTCAGAGTGTACATGGTGAGTTAGGGTAATACGCGGGCGGTGATTGGTAGGTCTAGGGTTCCAGAATCCCAAGGTTCCATCTTACAAGTCATGACGGTGCGACAGAAAGAAGTTTTTGTTCCATTGACGCCTACACTTTTAAAGTTCACTTTCACTCATAGTGCACATAGCAGCTAGGCAATGGACTTCTTAATAAAGGATAGTTGAGAACCTTGATCCAACAAGACCCTGACTAGAACAGATCTTCTTCTATCTTTAGCTTTGAGACATAGTATGGCAGTGGCTAATAGAAATGAGTTCTGGGGTAGGGCGCTCTGAGGCTCTATGGTTGGCGAGTGATTTCCATCAGAATTATCCAGCCGGCAGAAGTCCTCGTCGCCACTATCGACAGTATCATGTGAAGTGTCACTGTGATTGTGACCTTTGGACGGTTGTTTTACGCTAAGCACACCAAGGTACTGTGCTTCCATTGACAGTTGCTACACTGAGCATACACCTTGCAGTGCTTTGTGGCGTGGTCCTCAGTGTTGCTAATTGGGAAAGTCAGCTCGTCACCAGAGTCAACCTGCAAAATCTACATTTTTACCGCTCATATCATTAGATTTTTTTTCTGCAAATTTCATAATTCTTTGAATTTCTTCTACATATTTCTTTTATTTGATTTGCGGGTTATTGAATGTGTTCAAAATCTGGCCTGTCTTTTGGGCCAACTTATTTCCCCGTCCCTTACGGAAATTCCCGATCATCGACGAGCACGCACGTAGTCGTGAGCATGTTCCACGGTGGTTAGTAAACCATCGACTCTCATCAAGACCGAATCACTGAAAATTATCCGGGCGCACATCGGCGCATTTATCGGGAAGTTCATCGGTAAAGTTATCGAACCTCATCCTAAATTATCCGGTCAATTATCTAAATATTCCGTGTTTGTACAGTCCACTTCGGTAAATCGACTTTTACTGCACTAAGTTTTTAAGTACATTGAAAATCAACGAAATTCATCCTGATTTATTCTCCGGCAATTCATCTCACTTCACTTTTCCTTCCGTCCTCCCTATCATCAAAATCACACAAGATTTTTCACAGAATGATTTACCAAGGAGATTTTAGAGCTTTGTGACCGCATGTGTAGTCATTGTGCATAAAAGAAAACAACACGTCATGTGCAAGTCTTGCAAGGGTTATGCTTCGAAAGGGTCCAACATCGAAATAGTCATACCTCGCTAGGATCAAACATCACAAGGGTCATACTTTACGAAAGCCAAACGTTTCAAATGGTAGGTAGGACAATCACAAGTTTCCAACGATTATGAGGGTCAACTGGGAGAGGCAGAGCAGGACAATTATAACGGTTTAACGATCATGAGGGTAAAACAAAGAAGCAGAAAGGAACATTGGCAAGGGTCTGACGGAAGACATGATCCTCACGAGGTATGACCCTTGCGATGTATGAACCAACGTTGGTTCCTTGTGAGGTATGACCGTTGCGACGTTTGACTTTCGCGAGGCAGGACCCTTGCGAAATATGACCCTGTCGATATTTGACCCTCGCAAGGCATGATCTTTGCAAAGTATGATTCTCGTGATGTTTGACGCTTGCAAGATTTAATCCTCGTGACGTTTAATCGTTGCAAGCACCTCTTGAGGTTTGACCCTCACAACTGGTAACCCTGGTGAAATTCAGTTACGAGGTTTTCTGTACATCAGTACGGAAGTGATAGTTGAGTGAAGGGCTTTTCTACCAGTTATTGACTTTTTTTATCATTTACAGGTCAATTACCAGTATTCAATTGTATACTGTATAAAACCCCGATTTTCCGTAAACGCACCAACCCTGGCAGTCACCAATAGAATTTTTTAAATCGCCAGATTTGTCGCTTGTGATCAACCGAAGAATTTTCATCACTAGTCAGCGAATTTACGTCTACCTTTTATGGGAATAAATATAAAGGAACATTAATGGGAATAAATTTAAAGGACATGAAGTCAGACGGTGGGATTGTGGATACGCGGAACATGCAACCTTAGCGTCTGATGTGATGAGATGAATCTTGGCTGAGGATTTCAGCCGATTCATTGTTTCGGGCGTCGTTGCTGGTAGGCGCGAGGGGAATCACTGCGAAATCAGTGCTGGCGAGGAGAACATTTTGGTGGAGCACGCATGAAGCTCGAAATCCTTGCGCGTATCCGTGACCATTTTGTTGACAGTCAGAAATACTAGGAGATCATCCCAAAAGTCAACCGTCCTGCCCGAGTTTTTCAATCCCTTGCAAGCACAACAGGTTAGATGGTACAGCTGACGAGACTCGTCGAATGACTCTGTCTTCATTCATTTAGTGGTGCAAATAGATTTCAAATGAGGCCAGCTTAGTGGACATTCATCATCAAACGCATTTTTCAGGAGATTCCATCCTGAGTTGTAATTCACGTCTGTGACCTGGATATTTTCCACAAGCAAAAAGGCTTCACTCTTCATTAGAGAGCGTAAAATGTGGTACTATTGGATTTCTGGAAGTGATAGGTCATCATGTATATGCGAAATGTGAATACTCTTCCAGCTAGTCCATTTTGCGGGGTCACCGTTGAACTTTTGCAATTGGATCTTTTCCATTTTAAAAAACAAAATGGAAGTCACTGGCCGAGCTGCCGGACTAAGAGCTACGGCGGGTGGTATTAGTTTAGCTGTCAACTCGCATAATGCTCTTTTATCCAACAAATACGGAGAGTAGTAATACTCGCATTATTTTGTTTTAAAATAGGAATGTGTTTTTTTGGAAAAGTAGCGAGTCAACGCAATTATCTGTCAAGTATCTTCATTTCTTGACAGAAAGTCTCATACTGCTCCAGAATGAGTTGGTGGCGACCAACATTCTTTGCTAAGAAGTCAATCGAATCAAAGTCTCCTAGTTCTCCAAAGTTTCCAACGTTTCAATCACCACAGCAGCACAGCGTCCCAGATGCTGGGTAACGCTCCAGAATGAATCACTTACTCCATTATAATCACTACAAGATCTATGCACGCGCTGTCGCACGCGCTGATCTATTCATTTGTTGAAATGAAGAAACGGAATTCATTGAATTTCATTTTCTCATGAATACCTTATAAATATTGATAATGAATCAAAGAGAATTTTTCATTTTCAATTAATTATCTTCAATCTTTTAAAATAATCGGTCTCCATAAAGGACAGAATTTATTAATTTCACCGATGATATATCTACACGTGAACTATATATATATATATATATATACCGCTGAAGAATTTGAAATTATGTCACTGAAGAATTGAAAATGCCGCGTGTTTTTTTTTTTGTGAATAACTTCGTGTCATATATTGACCAATCAGAATTAAGGATTAGCGGTCAGGCAGTTTCGAGATATTTCGATATAAAATAACTTCACGTTTCTTTCATCTTTAGTGAAATCACTATCGCAAGACCATACACATACCCAAGGAGAGGTCAAGTTTGGAAGGTGGTGGTGCTTCACTCCAAAAATTGTACAATCAGAACTATTTTGTCGGCCTTAAGGATCGCATTCTTACTTAGATTTAATTAAATGTTCATCAATTCAAGTACTGTTCCTTCACTGATACCAGTGTTAATCTTTTGCATCAAGAAGTTAAATAATACTCAGCACGAGCCAATCCGTGGTAGTGTGGTTGATGGCGGCAAGCATATGCGGTTCCGTCGAGTTCAGTTTTCGATTAGATCGGGCGTCACTTCAACAACAATTCAGAGGTATAAACCGATGGTTTGACTCTAGCAACATCGTGGTTGCTCCCTCCATTTAAGTGCACTTCAGTCTAATATTCGCTATCCGGCTCGAAGGATCATGTTCGAAAGCGCTTTAGTCTCTAAAATTAATTAAATTATAGATTCGATTGTTAGTAAACTGAACACAATTTGAATGACACAAATTTTACATGTGTTGGAATGTCACTACACCTATGTATTGAATGAGTTTATAGAGTGGGTATGATATCTTGTGAGCAAGATAACGCGTAAGTGATCTTATCGACAGAGATCTAGTTATGTAATTCTTTTATTTGTCGATATCTATGCATGGCGCTTCGTCTCTTAGCACCTATACGAGCTGTACATTAATTCAACGTATTCCTATAATAAATACTATTTCTTATTAACTAGACCCCTGTGTTCTAATTTAGTTGATCAACATGTATGCCTTGAATTGCACTTTAGATTAATAGATTATGTTCATTATAACATCACCACTCTACACTCGAGCCTCATGCGTTTTTTAAAGTTACGACGCAGCTACTTTGTTTTCCTTTTTCGATGAGCTACCTCACTTCCCTCGCTTCAATAGCTAAATTTTTCTATCCCACAATCACGCTGGTTAACACAGTAATCACGGATGC